GCTGTTGTCAAGTTCATAATTATCATTGCATATCATAAGTCATAACATTAATTAATTGTTTATTTTTTAAAGCAAAATAAAATAACACACTTGATAAAACAGTAACATGTAAAATCAATACCTTCTTTTAGCTGGAAACCTCCACTAAAGTATTGCAGTAAGTTGATTCCAAGCATAGCTTGGTAAAAATAACTTGCTTCTTCCAGAGCTGCAGATCTGAGCATGCACGACCACACCCAAATTTTGGAGCACATGGCAAGCTTCTTAATTAACAAAATGGCGGCATGCAGCTAAGTGGCTCGATCCAGCAGTCACAGTATCACCTTTTCATCACTTGAAGAATGATCTGATGGGACATGGACCTGCGCATAGACTGTTGGAGTAGATTGGTGTAAGAATTATCCTTGTAGCACCAACCAATACTGAGATACACACCGACAACTGGATTGACAGGACTTCTGACTTGATGATGAAGATGAAAAAAGGTGGTACCAATGGAGTCCTCTGGTCAAGATGATGTCCTCTAAGAAGTCTGGTAAGCATAGGAGCTCGTTTTCCCGGTATAGCAAGGCTGCAAAAGTCGTGACAGCCATTTTGTTTGGGGGGTGAATCCTACCTTAGTAACGCTACCGCGTTACTAATGTATACTTTTGTGGATTTAATTTTCACAAATTTATGCTGTCTCCCATCTTGTACCGTACTAATTTGATTTTTGCAGATGTAATTTTCGCGAATCTTTCAAAAATTGCAAAATCTGCGAAATTTATAGCACTAAAAAAGGTGCCCTATGGTATAGTGTAATGAGTATCAAATGATTATAATTTTACTCTAACCTGAAAGGGTTGAAAGCGTTCCATAGTCTACATATAATAAAGTATAATGCTAACAATGAATGAAACAATAAAGTTCCTTACTGGTGCTATAATGTATAATTTATGATTTAGGCAAAATGGCAGTGTTGTCATAAAGTATGACTATTCTTAATGTGCAGGCTTACATGTAATTTGTATCACTATTATAAACTACACATTTTAGTGGTGTAAATCATATTTGTAATTATGACCTTAATAAAATTCAGTTAACAGTCTTAATATAGTTTGACAGTATTAATTTTTTTTGCTGAACTTTTTTCAAGTACACTTTATACAAGTATATTTTTGTTAAATGAGCCACAAAACTTGGTAACAAATTTAACTCTCTTTTAAATGCATGGCTTGCACTGCTATACCATGCATAGGAGTCATAAACAAGAGGGTGACTTGAGCTCAGGCCTTTTCACATTTGTCTACTTTAGATCCAGAATTTCAACCTACTAAAATAGAATCCTCTTTGGTTGTGTTTAAACTAAGCTATACTTTAAAAGAATTAAAAGTGAATTAAACTGCATTGGCTTCTACAGGTTATAAATATTATTTTAATTAAGATTAATCAATCCACTTCAAACCACCTCTGGATGTGGATTGACTGAATCTAGCTTCAATCCTGATTCAAGACAAGTGTGAACAAGCTAATCCTGGATTTTATTTTAATTCTGGATCCAAAGTGGACAAGTGTGAAACAGTGGCGGATCTGGGCCCGGGCCTAGACGGGCCATGGCCCGGGCATCAGAAGTCAGTAATGAGATTCATTAGATGCAATGTAAACAATTCCCTGCCTCAAGTTTTGATAAAGCAAACCACAAGCCACACCAGAGTACTTAAGTGCTTGAAGAGCATTATAAGCACAGCATAGATGAGGAAATTGTTGAAACCCATCATAAAAATGGCCAAAAGATGCATAACCATAAAATAACTAGTTGAAAAGTGGACACACCCACTTCCTGGCCCTACCATTAACTTGCACCCAGATCCGCCACTGGTGTGAAAAGCCTTTAATATAGGGCCTGTTGTTTCAATTGCGACTATATATGATAAAAATTCTGATCTTGCTTATTTAGACCTTGTGATGCTTTGATGTACAAAATTTGACACTCTTACTGCTTTGATCTTGAAGTTAATTTTAAAAGGTTTGGTCCTTGATCTTGACGTTTACTACAGTAAGTCTTAGATGTATGTGTTCATTTAACTGCAATTGACCTTTTTGATTTTGATTTGATCACAGTCACAGAGTTGCAGGTAAAACAACAGGCTTTATTTGGTATAAAAAATGACACCAAAATAATTAAAAACTAGAAATTTGTTTTAAATAGACTATACAAAAAATAATTTATTAGTAAATTACATAGTTATTTTGGTTGTTACTTAACATTTTCTTACTTTTCGCATCTTAGTGATGATTAATAACTCAGTAATTTCAGATCTAGATAGCTCAGGATTGATACAATACTACATAAAAGTAATAAGCAAAACATTCTCATAGCATTTAGTAAACAATACAATAATGCTGTTAAGAGGTGAATCAACTTCAAAATTTGATTGTTGACCTCTAAAATACTTACTTTCTCACAAGCAGCAGTCACATCAGCTTGACCTTTAGTAATCAATAATTTGATAACTTCAGTTGATTCACCTTTTTCAATTGCTAGTAACAGAGGAGTGTTACCATACTAGATAAATAAATAATAAAAAACTTAATACAATGTGAGGTTATAGTTAACTAGCTACTAAAAACAACAAAAGTTTTTAAAAATCTCTTTTGCAAAATTACTGTTAAGCTGAACTTTATTTTATAAGAATCACATTTTAGATAACAAGAAATGTAACATTAAAACTACATGCATATAATGGACAATTTGAGATGAAGTATGTGCTGGGCTAAAATATGCTGGGAGATTATACTTATTATACCATGGTGAGTGGGTGGTTACCATGGAAACCTTTGATGTTTAGCTGGAGTTATATGCCCATAACCACCCTGCAGACAGTGTGGGTTTTCACAGTTTACACAAGAACAATACTGCATTGGTATCACAGTTTACATAAGAACAATACTGCAATACTTTACCATGGCATAAGTCAGATACATCCCTGTCTGGAGGTGGTTATGGGTACATAACTAGGGACACACACATTATTCGGGAATTTCTTTTGGAATAATGGGTGTGAAATTTAGAGAAAGAATAATGGGTTAAAATTTGCCTGCCTAGATCATGTGATCAATTTAACCCTTTCAATACTGCATGAGCATGTGTCTGCAAACAGTACAGTATAATTTAACAGCACTTTACAGCAACAGCAATGAGTAACTCCACTGGAAATAATACTGAACAGATTTCAGGACACTCAAAGTAATTCACTTGAGGATTACATTGAGTCATCAGTAGTGTTACAATATAACCATGAATGATGATATTAATAATCAAAATGAATTTTTGGTATTATCAGAGCATAATAATAGGAATAATGGGCCAAAAAGGAGAGAATAATGGGATTGAGGAAGAGAATTGAAGAATAGAATTATAGGGTTGAAAAAAAGAATAATGTGCATGTCCCTATACATAACTCCCTCGAGATAAGTGGTCTCGGGCTACGCCCTCGACCACTTATCTCGCGGGAGTTATGTACCCATAACCACCTCCAGACAGGGATGTATCCTACACATACCCATGTAGCTCCAAATTTTTGTCAGTCAAAAATTTTGTCAAAATCTTAATTTCTTGTTAAAATTAATTTTTGTCAATAAAATTGTGAGTTATAAATCCACATATTACCCACGTGGAACAAAAACTAGTCAGATGATATTTTTTACCTTTGGAGCCATACGGTATACATGTGGGAGAGTCAGTAATAGTTAATAGTGTAAAAGTACATGTATAAAGTACAAAGTATTACATAGGCAAAATGCATGTACATGGCAAGTTGGCAACCTTACTTTATCCACAACATCAGTTCTAGCTCCATTAGTTA